GCCATGGGCCATGGGCCACGGGCCACGGGCGGCGCACGGTCGCGCGGGGAGTTGATTTCGATCGGCTTATGTTAGGTGTCCTGACATGAAAGTGGGTGACCCCTTATATTTTTGGAAAGACGATAGTGTGAGGATTGTTAATCTGTAAAAATATTATTGTGCCGGGGCTTCGTATTGGAGTAGGGAGAGTCGGAACGAGGACGTCGAGTAGGAAACTTTGGTAGGCCGTTTTAAAGTATTAAATTCTCATGAATGAAGACATCCTGGGCCCCAACATAATGCGAGTCGATTTTTTGCTCGAATTTTAGCTTTCCGTAGGTATTTTTGAAATTGTGGTGCGATATCTGGTTCTCGAGAAAAGGCGATCAATTCGTCCCGTTGTCACCAGTCACTCGGCTCCCTCCGCTCGTGCTGACTCGGGCCGGCTCGGCTCCGCGCTCGGCTCGGGCCTCGGGCCTCGGTCGGGTTGGGTTTACCTTGGTCGTCAGTCGGTCGGGTCTCGAGTCGAGTCCGAGTCGCCGAGTCGGAGGTCGAGGTGGCAGTGAGAAGCAGTGTTTGTTGTTGTCTGTGTCCTGTGTCGTCTTCATCACTTAATATTTAGTCAGTTTTCCACGAGTGTATCATGTCACGCCCATCCATCTCAAAAATGCTGAGGTATTATTGTTTGTTGGATGCCGAGCTCAATAGCCAGGGGTGTCCTTTCACCGACTCGGAGCAAAGTAAGTTCATATCACGTACCTAAACATAACCTCAACGCTGGCTCAAACAGCGCTTGTAACACAAGTTTTCTTCTTTATTTTTATTAGGTACCATCAAGAGCATCATCGCCTACAACCTCCACAAGCGATTCACAGCACACGCTAGACAACGCGCGCGGTTAGCTTGGACGAGGAGATCGAAGAGGTGGCATGTGAGGCCTATATTCCTAAACCGGGAGCTGTAACCGGCCTGGTTCACTCTGGTCTCATAATAAGGGAGTACGACCAAGATGAATTTTATAGATTCTTCCGCATGACTCCTGGATGCTTCGACTGGCTTCTTGAAAAGGTGGGCCCTTTCATAAGGAAAAGATCCAACCGTAAAAGTGTCTCAGCAGGGGAGCGTCTGGCCATCACACTGAGGTAAGATGTTGTCCTTAATTTTCCCCTGTCATATGCTGTTCATATCCTCTTCTCTGTTACTCATGTTATTATGCTTTTCCTCTCCATCAGGTATTTGGCGTCTGGAGACAGTCAGTCTTCATTATCGTACCTGTTCCGCCTCTCCAATGAAGCTATCTCCAAAATCGTGACAGAGACCACAGCCGTCATCTGGTATACTTTGAAGCCACTAGTATTTGATGAAATCTCTGAAGACTTTTGGAGGCAAAAGGCTGCTGAATTTGAAGCAATGTGGCAGTTTCCTATGTGTGTTGGTGCTTTTGATGGAAAGCACTGCTCATTCCAGGTAAATGCTAGCATATTTATTTCTGATTGCCCCACGCAGGAAAACTCTATTGAGTACTGCATGTTGTTACATTACCACATTATTTTAAATGCTCCTATTTGCCTCACAGAAATTCCCCATGCGTGGCTCTGAGTACTATAATTACAAAGGGACAAACAGCATCGTTCTCTTTGCTATTGCTGACGCCAAGTACAAGTTCATTGTTGCTGATGCTGGTGCTAAAGGCCGTGAGGGGGATAGTGGAGTATTCGACAGATCAACATTTGGAGAAATGTTCTACAACCATAGACTACGCCTGCCACCACTTGTGTACAATGCGAAGATAGACTGTCTGCTACCATATGTGTTTTTGGGAGATGGTGCCTTTCCACTAGATGAACACCTCATGAAGCCATTTGAACCAGATGCCAGAGACAAGTCGCCTGCTAACCACGCCCTCTTCAACTGCAGACTGTCCAGGGCAAGGAGAGTTGTAGAGAACGCCTTTGGAATCCTCAGTGCAAGATTCAGGATCCTACGTCGAACTGCCATTGTCAGTGAGACACTAGCCTGTAACATTATTTTGTCTACTTGTGCCCTCCACAACCTTCACATCATGAGGGAAGACAGCATTCCACCGAAGCAGCGTGTCTACCTTCCTCCTGGTTTCTCAGACACCTACAAGTCTAATGGATGACTGAAGCAAGGCAGATGGAGGAAACTAGTACCCACTTTGGAAAAGACAATTTTCCGTTATCTTGTGCAACAAGAAATCCCTGGTGCTGCCAGGAATTCCAACCCACTCTATCCCACTCTCGTGAGGGAGGATTTTGTGGAACTTGTCCTTGCCCAGCCAGTTCGTTGGCAGTGGGAACCATTATAGTATCCTATTTTTCTATGCTCCATGTTTCTGTAATTTTAAGAATGTGATGTTTGTAATTGTGAGTAGAGAAACCAATGACTGAGGCAGCATGGCTGTGCGCATAGTGAACCATTACTTGATAAATTTTTTGTATGTGTTTTGCAATTCTATGTCTGGTCACTATAGTGAGATTGAAACTGTGATAGGAATAAAATGCTTCGAATGAAGCTATTTAAAATCTGTTGTTCGTGGGTGATGGCAGAGCAGGGTTGTAATGACAAGTACAACAGTTCAGTGGCATAAGAGGTTTATTGTGGCATTCATTACACTTATATAGATTTGAATAAAACACTATTTACAGATCACACTGAGAATAACAAACATAGAGCAATGTGAATATGAATGTGAGAACTTGAAGCATTATACACAGTAACACCCCCACTTAATGCGAGAGCACAAACAACACAAAAACAAAAACAATTGATTGAATGCCAAAACCATGATAGGACAAAAAAATCACAAACAAGCTTGATAAGTTGGCAAGTTTACATAAAATGTGACAAGGTTAAATGCTTTAAGTTTTAACAATAACAAGGTAAAATAAGCATAACAATATATCACAGAAGAAGCTGTAAAAACAAATTACAACACACCAATTTTAAATTTACTAAAATTGTGTTTGTTTAATGGTAACGGTTTGGTTAAAATATCAGCTGGCATCAATGCTGTTTGAAGATAATTTAAGGTGACAATATTTAATTGAACCATGGTCCTTGTGAAATGATATTGTATATCTACATGTTTTAATTTAGCACTACTTGACAGATTTGAGGCTATAAATTTTTCCCCTTGATTATCACAGTAAACAGTAATAGGACCACGACGACCAATGAGATAACCAAGTAAGTCATACATACTTTTGGCTTCACGAGCACCTTGACATAATGAAACATACTCAGCTTCAGTGCTACTTAATGCCGGAGATGGTTGCTTCTTCGCCTGCCAGAAAACAGCGCCTGATTGCATCACACTCACGATGCCGGAGTAAGACTTTCTATCGGTGCCATTACCCCAATCAGCGTCACAAAAAATCTCAATATCATCTACATCACAGAATTGATCCAGGTATAGGTACAGAAGTTTGCGTTAAACATTTAATTTTATCTCTTATAAATATTTGCAAATCAGATGAGGAATTAATTGAGTAAGTAAGACAATCATTGATTGTACCTTTCAGGTAACGCAAAACTCTTTTACCTGCTGACAAATGCTTGGAATTAAAGTTACAATTAAATTGACTCAAGTAACTGACAGCAAACATAATATCAGGTCGGGTGCATATGGCAACATACATCAATGAACCAATAAGCTCTTGGTAAGGAACATCAGGAGGTGAAGGATCTGTTGAAGTACTTAGCTTTGATCCAGGATCCAAAGGTGTTGTAACCGGATTGGCATCATCGAAATTGTACTTGTTTAGGACCTTCTCGATGTAGCTGGATTGGTCAAGGCGGATACAGTCCTTGTCTCTCCTGACTCGGATGCCAAGATATTCGCTGATAATTCCAAGGTTTCTAATGGCTACCTTCTCACCGAGCAACTGAATAATGGAATTTGCTGCTTCTGCTGATTCTGCGAACAAGAGATCATCAACATACAGAGCAAGTATTATGAGTTTTCCATTGTGAATCTTTGTAAATAGACATTGCTCGTGAGGACATTTGGTGAAACCTAGATCTTCTAATATTTGATTTGCTTTCAGGTTCCGAGCTCTTGATGCTTGCTTTAAGCCATATATTGCTTTCCGCAGCTTGCATACTTTTGATTCCTCTCCCTTCTTCACATAGTGTTGCGGCTGCTGGAGATAAACATCTTCATGAAGATCTCCATTGAGAAAAGCAGTAAGTACATCAAGGTGATAGAAATTCCAATTGTATCTTGCAGACAAGGCGAAGAGTAATCTAATTACAGAATGAGGAATGGTGGGAGAAAATGTTTCTTCGTAATCAATTCCCTTTTTCTGAGAGAAACCTTGTGCCACAAGACGAGCTTTGTATCGAGTCGAACCATCAGAGGATTTCTTCAATTTGTAGACCCATTTCGAACCAATCACATGACAGTTGGGCGGTTTATCTACCAAAACCCAAGTATTGTTGTCAATAAGAGACTTGTACTCCCGATCCATGGCAAGCTTCCAGTCATCTTTATCTGGTCTGGACAGTGCTTCAGAGACGGAGACAGGATCTATGACATCAGTGCAAAAACTAGCTTCATAGTAGTAAAAGTCGGGATCTTGGTTCAGTTTCCTGTTTCTGAGAGGGTATTTCCTCGCTGGCACAGCAGGTGCAGGAGGTACCACATCCTCATGAACAGGGGGTTCTTGTTGTACTAATGGCGCCATGTCATTAAACTGTTGATTCTCTCCATTTTCAGGAGCATGACCAACTGGCATGGGTGGAGGCATAACAAATTCAGACTTATAAGTAATGGAGTCATAAGAATTTGTTGCCACATCAGCAACCCTCATACCTTCAACGAACTGCACATCTTTAGATACAACTACTTTAGAAAAATCTGAAGGATCAACAAAACGGTATGCCTTCTTTGTTTCTGAATAACCAATGAAAATTAATGGTTGTGATCGAGCTTCTAACTTTGATGATCTTTTTTCCTTTGGTATCAAAACGTACGCAATGCTTCCAAAAACCTTAAAGTGCGATACGTTTGGCTTCTTGCCATACCAAATTTCATAAGGAGTGACAGGGCAAGCTTCTGTGGGAGATCTGTTCTTCACATATATAGAGCATAGGACAGCTTCACCCCAAAAGCGGATGTCAAGCTTTGATTCAATCAAGAAACAACGAGCACGATCAAGGACGGTTCTATTACACCTCTCTGCCACACCATTTTGCTGTGGTGTTTAAACAGTTGAAGATTGATGAATTATACCGCTAGCAATGCAAAGTTCTTCAAATTTAGAATTAAAGTACTCAGTACCATTATCACTTCTAATGATTTTAATCTTCTTCCCGGTTTGATTTTCAGCAAGTGTTTTAAATTCTGTGAACTTTTGGAACACCATTGATTTGTTCTGCAGTATATATCCATCCGTGAAAAATCATCAGTAAAACAAAGCAAGTATTTCCCACCTCCAAAGGTAGAAACATACGGACCAGCTACATCAGTGTGAACTATTTCAAGAAGTTCAGTAGCACGGTTGCTTTGCCCCTTTGGGAAAGGTAAACTGGACATCTTCCCTTCAAAACAGGTTGTACATTTAAAATCATTAACAGAAACTGAAGGAACCTTCTTGATTAGGTTACTATTAAAAAGCCTTTTCATCACAGAAGGACTCATGTGTTCAAGGAGTCTGTGCCATAATTCTAAAGGACTCATATCAGTCCGAAGTTGATGAAAGGTTAAACCAGCAAAGTCCACATGCACAGGAAAATTTTGATGAAGCATGTGTTCACAACGTAATTTGTAAAGACCATTGCTCTCAGGGCAACTTAAAAGTAGATCTCCCTTTGAACCAATGACTTCACAGACATTGTTGACGAACTTGACTGTGAGACCAAGTTTTGCAAACGCCGAGACTGACAGTAGATTGACTGACAAGTCTGGTACATACAAAACATCCCTTAAAATCTTGAATCCAGTACTACATTTTATCCTTATATTGCCAATGCCTTTACTAACTACCTTCTGACTATTTGCCACATAGATATCCACAGAGAAAGGAAACAAAGATGTAAACCAATGTTTGTGAGAGCACATGTGCTTGCTGGCTCCAGAATCTATAGTCCACTCTGCAGGATTCAAGTTGGCAACATATGCAGTGGCTAAAAGGCAATGTTCAATTAGGCAAATTCTTCTGAAGGGGTACTCACAAATACCATGTTGGCAGTCTGGTGCTGAGGTTGAGGTTGAGCTTGAGGTTGAGAAGTAGTGTCTTGAGCTAGATGGGCACGAGCAGGTTTGCGACCACCTTTCTTCTTCTTTCGCTCGGGACATCCTGGACTCTTGTGGCCAGGCCTGTTACAGATGAAACAGATGATATCCCGCGATTGATTGGAAGACTGTTGCATATTCTGCCTCTGCTGATTTGGGAACTGCTTCTGGTGCTTGCTAAAACATGCAACAGCAACAGAGTCAGATGAGTCAGACATTGAAGCATGGAGGAGACGTTGACGGACCTTATCAGATGTTAACTGAGAAGCTGGAGTTGAATTCTCAAGTGCCATCACCAAGGGCTTACTTATAATCTTCCGTCAATCCCGAAAGCATGACTACAGCAAAGAGTTTGTCATCAAGACTTTCTTTCATAGCTGCCAAACGTTGCTGCAAATTCTTCATTTGATCAATGTACTCATTCATGTTGCTAAATTGCTCTAGAGAAGTTCTAAAGACTGCACGAAGAACAGCACACCTCATTACAAGACCAGATTCAGAATAGGTTGACTCAAGCTTGTCCCATATTTCTTTAGCTGTACTGCATCCAACTAGAACATTGAGCACATGTTCTTTGATATTCAGGTATATCTTTGAATAGGCTCTATCGTTCTTCTCCTCATCTTCCTCAGTCCCCTTCACAACATTCCACGTTTTCTCAGCAATAAGGATAGCCTTCATGTACGTACACCAGACAAAATAGTTGTCTGAACCATTAAGGTGTCTAGACTCAGGCAAATTTCTTTGTGGAGTATAGTGGGAAGAGTTACCACCACTAGCCTGGCAAGCTCTAAATCCTTGCCCTCTATGTCCCCCTCTACCTCTGCCATCAAAACCACCTCTTCTAAATCTTGGATTGTCTCTATGCTGCCCGTTCCCACCAG